AAAAAAAAAAAAAAAGGTGAAATCTCAGTGTAGTTTTATTTGAGTGGCTTTTTTAAAGGAGATAAGATGTGATGAGCAATCAAGATGTTTACACAATCAGTAAACAGCCTTCAATGAGATACCTAAGGACTGAGCGGAATAGATTATAGTGATCAAAATGTCAATTGTAACACTAACATAAGCAACAGTCAATCACCCACTCTAATGGAAGGAAGCATCTATTCTTGCTTATTTCATCTTCACAGGAAAGAATAAATAGGCCAAAGTGCTTGGGAAAACCCATACCTCATCATTAGGTAGGGCTTCCAAATGCTTTTCCTGAATAAGTATCTGAATAGAGAAACTCTCCCTCCTTGTGGGTCCTGTTAGACTGTAGGCTACAGATGCACATATCACGCAGATGGTACCCCTGGGGGACATAAGGAAATGAAGTGGTGTGGCTAGCCACAAAGAAGAAGAGTGAGATGAAACCACAAAGCTGCAAGTCCAAAGATAACATACATCTTCCTCATTCTACATGTGTTATTAGCACATTCAATAACATAAACATCGGTGGTTTTCATCAGAATTTCTTAGATTCTTAGAGCCACTCAACGCTAAATTAATTTTACAAATGAGGAAATGGAAGTGCAGAAAGGTTGTCTGGCTAACCTAAAGCTGCACAACTTCTGAGTCTCTGAACTAGGACTACCATCCAAGTTAACAGTTTTCTTTCAATTACATTTCTTGATAGTTTCTTATGAGAATTCTGGATAAGACACAGTATCTGCTAATTCTTCAAGTCAAAGCTATGTGCCAAACATTACAATGTGTTAACTACAAATTGGCCCTGAAGTTTTTGACTTGCAAAATAGAGTAACTTGTAGAAATATGTTAATATTTTTAAATCTTCACTTAAGATAGGCCTTCTTAAACCTTAGCAATCAGCCTTCAGATTAAACATATTCCCTATAATATAAGTTACCATATTTTTGCAGCTTCTCATATAAATCTGGAGTGCGATACACCAGAGCAGCAAAGGTGGCGTTCACAGCTTGATCAATAGTGGAACCAGCAACTATATCTGTCTTTGGGGCCTGTTTTCTACATGCCTGTATAAATCCTTTGAAAAGTTCAGAATTTGGCCCACAGAAGTCCTGAGCAGGCTCTGACTGGGCAAAATCAAGGAGAAAATGGCGGCAGGGATCATCAGGGATGTTCTTAACCTGGGAACAAGAAAAAAAAATCATATTTAATATAGTCATTCAAAAAAAAATTTACTGAGTACCTACTAGGTCAAAGTGGAATTATAAAACATAGTGCATACTCTCAGTAAGTTAAAATTTATTTTAGGGAGACCAGACAGGTGTATGGGTTAAAAAAGGTAACTATAACTAAAACTTAAAACTAGCACTACCATAAAGCAAAAGATTATCCAGTACCAAATGACTACAGGGGACACCCAGTGCTGAGAATTCAAAGGAGTGAGTCCCTGACAGGTTAAAGTAATCAAGAAGAGCCTCTTAAAGGACACTAGCTGAGAGTTGGACCATGGAAGATGGGCAGGCAGTTCCTGAGAAACACAACCACTAGTACAGGTTAAGAGAGTCAGTGGGGAGACTGACCTGGCCTGAAGTCTCAGCTGGGGAGTGGTGAGAACTAGAGTCAGATAGATAAGGTGAAAGGAGACTGTAGAGAGCCTTGACTGTCACACTGAGGAGTTTAGACTTCACCCTGTGGGCAACAGGGAGCCATTAATGGAGCTTGGCAGTGGAATAAAAAGATAATGCAGTGATTAAAAAAAACTTGGTAGGTACCTATGTAACAATGCAGGTAAAAGAGAGGGGTCTAGATAAATATGGAGACAGAAATGAACATCATAAGAAAGAGTCCACAGGGCTTGCAGTTGACTGGAAAGGAAGGAAGCAAGCAGGGTAGGGAGGCTAGAGAGCAATGGCTCCAGGGCCAGACAAACAATAGTGACCATAATAGAGGTGAACAGTCAGTTGCTGGTTTGGTTTTACACTTTGAAATTAATGGGAGTCAGGATGGTGAAAAGGAAACACCTAATGAGAAGAGGGAGATAGATACTAGGTCCTAGAAGAAGAATTAAGAGTGGGAACTAATATTTAAGAATTATTCCCACAGATGGGGTAGAAAAGATTGCAGAGGATGAAGTCTTGGTGGGTTGCAGGAAAGGGAAGGAAGCCTGAATAAAGGCTACCCTTTAGAGAAGGGAGAATAAGATAAGTCAACAAAGGAAGCAGACAGAGCAGCTAGAAGTAAGAGAAGACAGTGGAAGGGACCAAAAGTAAGGGAGTCTGAAGGAGGCAGATTCAACAGAGAGGTGATGGAGAACAGAAGAGCCAGTGGATTTAGCAATTAACCACAGAGTAAGTTGGAGGGGGAGGAGTGGGAGGTGGGAAGAAGGGAGGACAAATAGTAGAACAAGAAAAGAGGGAAGGAGAGATGAGAAGTAAAGATAGAAGACAATCTTCGTTAGTATGTAAAATGTTACACACCTATACCTATACTAGGTGCTACAGCTCAATGGAGAACAAGAGGGACAGCGCAAATCATTTAATCGAAAGTGTGACTCAGCAGGCACTTGTTTATTTGATAATACTATCAAGAGAGATTTACTGAGCACCTACTATACTTCATTCCATACTTTTGAGCACCCATTGCACACTGGTACCTGTAGTACACAGTGGGGAAAACAAATAACAAGAGATAGTTTTTGCCTCAAGGAGTTATCAGCTTAATAGGGGGTGATAAAATATAAACATACATGTTTACAACTTAAAGTAATAAATGACAGAAGAGTAAATACCTCCTTGCCATCCTGGTGTAGGTGAGTGGGCCAGCTTGCTTCTAATTCCAACTCTGGGCAAATCTGATGCCTGAAAACAGGTTTCCACAATGGGGAGTTCAGGACTGAAGTCATTTTTGCTTGCGGTACTGCCATGTTACTGCCTAACTCTGGAGAGAGAAGATGGCTTATGAGAGTTCTATTTTTTTCCTCAGTACACAAACATTTTAAAAAGCTGGAGGAAATTCACCCACATTTCCTAGAATGGAATTGTGACACCCATAAATGCATATCACAGATAAACTTAAACCATAAGTCCTGAAATGCTGCTGCTCTGTGGGAAAATTTCAGTTACAACTTCTGTTTAGTAAACAAGAAACTGAATGGCCTAACAAAAAGCCATTTAGGAATACTAATTATGGGAAAACATTTACAGTTTGTAAAGTTCATTTTATAAAAAGTAACAAATACCCACCCTAGATATAAATAGACAAATAAAGACTATGTGGTCATCAATAAAAATGTTAACAATAGTTATCTTTGGGTGTTAGGATTAAGGATGCTTCTACTTTTCATTGGTTTCCTTCAATGTCATTTTTCCATATTTTACTTTTATAACTGGAAAAATGCAAGAAATTATATAGAAATAAAATACACTAGAAATATTTATTCTATAAGTCTTGTCCCTTGGAAGAATTTAATAACAAGTTGAACGTTATTTTAAGACAAAAATCCATATTCACATATCTATATACATTTATATAGATATTCACTAATTTAAAGGATATACCGTGAATTGACTATATTTCTGTCTTGTGGTTGGAGTACACTTAAATCTACTTACAAAATAAAAATGATTATGATGCTACTAAAAAATAGCCATCTCCCCAACTTGTCCTCCAAAGACAGAGGGAATACACAGCACCTTTGTGATGAAGGCCAAAGGCTGAGTAAAGAAACTTCGTGACAGTCGGGTGCCAGGAGCTCATGCCTATAATTCTAGCTACTAGGGAGGCTGATGTTAGGAGGATCATGATTCAAGGACAGCCTTGGCAAATGGTTTGTGGCACCCCACTTCCAAAATAACCAGAGCAAAGTGGACTGGAGGCGTGGCTCAAGTGGCAGAGTGCCTGCTTTGTGAGTCTAAAGCCCTGAGTTCAAACCTAGTCCCACCAAAAGAAAGAAAGAAACTTCATGACAATGGCACCAAGTGGACAAACTATTCTTGTTTGGTTTAAAGGAAACTGAAAGTGAACATTATAAGTACCTTGCTCTGTCATGATGTCAAGACTACCTATGAGAGAGAGGTTCCCTCCTCTTCTCTTGCTCTTCAACACAGTTGTAACGAGAAAGGAAGGAATAGAGCTGTGAACTTACGATGCGCAGACTTAAGTGCCATGCACTGGGAGGCAAGGCGTCCCATCAGTCGGGAGACAAGGAGTTGTAAGTCCAACCCCCAAGACACAGCAACATCAGGCAGTCCGTAGGCAGTGACAGTAAATTTGTATCCCCACTCATTGTTACTGCTGTCAGAGTGAAAGAGGAACTGCAGCCGAGGACCATCCTTAAAGGTTACTTTCTAGAGACAAACAAAAGTCATGTGATCAAACTTATGTTGGGAGGTATCTAAATAGTAACTCTTCATGACTCAAAACACCTCAATTTAAAAGTGGTCTCTATTTCCACAAGTCCAAAACTACTAAAAGAGAAATATACAAAGGTGTGACTGAAACACAAACTCACAACTGCACTCACGAAGAAGAAGAATTGGCAGAAAATGGTTGCTCAGCTTTCTAATCCTCAGGCAACCATCTGCCCACTACCTGCTCAGTCATGTTGGCTCAGTCCTTTGCTCCCAATCAAGATCCCTGACAGCAGAAAGAAGGTCAGTAATTTGAGGTAGCCCTTAGCCTCCAGCCCAGAGATCAAGCAGGTCTAACTGTGACCTGGACTCCTTGTTTTCACCAGGGTCTTGGCCCTCCTCCTGGACTCACTCTCACTAAGAGTGATAGCTCCTCATTTACTATGGACAGAGCTTATAGAGACCAAGTGTTGGCAAACTTCCTATAAAGAACCAGACAGAGAAAAATTTTGCATTTTCTGGGCTTACATAATCTGTGTTATGACTGCTTCACTCTGCAACTACAGTGCCAACACAGCTGTAAGTGAGGAACATATGGACATGATTATGCTCCAAACAATTTTTATTTATACAATGGAGACAGATGGTAGTGTGCTCAACTCTGATAAAGCCCTTCCTTTTACAAAAGTATAACATAAATACTTCCCTTCAAAGACCACATCTCTATTGTCCTGAGGACTGGCAATAGGATAAGAGTTGCTACAGAAGTAAATACTTCACCTCGTTCAGTGAATACCACTCACCTTGGGCCATTTATAAGTGCCAACTTTCGTGTCATAGCGTGTCTTTCCACCTCTAGCATCAGTAAATTCTAGATAATCATACCTGTGAAGGCATAATCTCTATTACCTTCTTTATCTCTTTTTTGACACACTATTCCTTGGGGGAAAAGAACATGTGAGACTTACCTTTTTTCAGTTTCACACCTCTCATCAAATTCCACCTCAAAATATGTTGCCCCGGGGCTAACAAAGACAGATACTTCATGGCAGTTATTTTCATAGTTGTGGGCAGATTCCTTGGTCCAAGTGTGCAGTACCACAGGCTGTTCCTGCTGCCAGGTCTCAACATCCAGCTAGGCAGACAAATGAGTCAGAGAAAACAACAGGTATCACTCCATACTCAGCCAGGGCGATAGGATGTTTATCAGTGCGGTGGGCTCACAGCTGACAAACTATTAGGCAGGTTAAAAAGATACACCTGACCTTCCTATCTACACCGAGATCAACAGAAGTTCATCACTCAGCAGAGTAGACATGTACTTTACACTCTAAGTACTCTGTTCAGCTTTTATCTTTTAGTTGGAACTGAACTGTCTTATACAAATATGTAGCTGCCCTTTCTACTGCCATTGGCTATTGTGAAAAAATGGCGTGTACTAAAAAGTTAAAAAGGGGAGACAGTTCTTTTAAGTACCAAACCTTCTACTTCAAATTTGCCTTTCCTCTCCCCTTTTAGACTTCAATCTGGTTATTCATTTACATAAATTTTATGTTACTGCATATACTATAAAATATAAAATTAATTATACAACTTGCTCTCTGTGTCTCCCTTCTAATGCTGATGAAGACAAATCAATTCGGATCAGTATTTATTACCCCCGTTGGCAAAACCACCAATAAAATTGCCTTCCAGAGCAAAGTTATTTGTGCAGACCTGTACTAAGTAGTGTGTTCATTGGTACAGTCACATCTCTGGGGAGAACAAACAATGCAGGGTCAGAGTCAGCCAATTTACCTTGCTCAGTCCTCCCTTAGGATCACTGCAGAGTCTCTTCAACAGCTCTGTTAGGGTGCTGAACTCTCTTAAGAGTGTGCAGTGTGAAATGCCTAAAGTGCAGAAGTCCAGCAGGAAGATGACCTAAAGGAAGATGAATGAAGTACTTTGCATCCACTGCAGACTCTCTCTGGGGGTGCTGGTCAGTAGCCCCTCCCTGCCCTGCCACTTTTCCTTACCAATTGACGAGCTGCCATGGAAAACACCGAGTTACATAACTTTTCTACTATGGTTTTTCCACTATACTGTGACAAAAGGGATTCCAAAATGACTCTCATGCTTGCCAGAAATTGTCCCACATCTGCCAAAAGATAAAGAAAATAGTTAATATTTTATACGGTAAAGATCACTTATTTAATTATCATCAAGGACAAAGCAAGAAAGGGTCACAGAAGCTGGGGAAGGGAGTCCACAATATAAGACCCAAGGCTTAAATGAAGCCCATGCCATGGGAATATCTTCTTCTGGGAAGAAAAGCAGTGTCAATTTCAGTAAAATATTACTTTTTTAAAGTGAATGGTACTTCTGTCTTTGTTGCTTTTCAATGAAGTAGAGATACCACTTCTGTAAGTTATGCCAGGCATGATAGCATGCCTGTGACCCTAGCACTTGGGATTGGGAGTTCATGCCTTCGGGCTACATAGTGAGTTTGAGGTCAGCCTGGGCTACATAGCAATACCCTGTCTAAAAAAAAAAAAAAAAAAAAAAAAACAAGGAAGTTACATGGCCAACTGACCCAGGTGTCAGCCTCCCCTTGTCCTTTTATTTACAATAGGCTCATGCATTTAAGAGGTGCTAATCTGAAGGCCAAGGCTTAGGTGACAGGATCCAGTACTATAAGCACTTTTGTCAAGATAGTGAGACCAAATTTGACCTAACGGAATTTTCCCCACATAATTTCTCACAAACTGTTGGATTGTAAACTCACAATTTTTTGTGAGTTTACAGGATATGAACATGAGCATTCTCAGTAGTTGGCAAAGGTCACAGTGCTCACACACCTCAAATTTTAAAAGCTCAAGACTTTCTTTTTTGGATGACTTGATTAATATAGGGATGACATATTCTCCTGACAACTGACTGAAGAGACAATGATTATGCATGTAGACTAAAGGATTTTGGCATATTACCATATTCAGACAGGAAGCTTTGGGCCAAAGGACATGGTATAGGATTATACTTTAAAGACAAAAATAAGGGTGGGTATGATGGCTTACTCCTATAATTCTAGCTACTAGGGAGGCATAGATTAGGAAGACTGTAGTTCAAGGTTAGCCAAGGCAAAATGTTTGAGAGATCCACATCTTAAGCAATGGCTGAGCATGGCAGTATATGCTTGTCATCCCATGATGTAGGGAAGCACAAATAGGATTTTGGTCCAGGCTGGCCCAGGGAATAAAGCAAGATGTTATCCTAAGAATAACCAAAGCAAAAAAGGGGCTGGCAGAGTGGCTCAAGTGGTAGAACATTTGCCTGGCAAGCACAAGGCCCTGAGTTCAACCCCTAGTCCCATCAAAAAAAAGACAAAAATAAGCTGCATATGGGTGATACAGGACTGTAATCTCACCACTCAGGATTCTGAGGCAGGAGGATCAAGAGTCTGACACAGCCTGGTCTACATACATGACCCTGTCTCAAAAATACAAATAACCCCCCCAAAAACAAAAAGACAAAAACAACCTGCAGATCTGAACTATAATAAAGAAAATAATATGCCTATTTAATGAATGGGTTACTGAAGAAGAGAGTGTTCACAAAGTCAAAATCCAGACACCTGTCTGTTTTCATGGATTGTGTATCGACACTCACATTTTTCAATAAGGTCCATGGCGAGATCTTTGGCTCCAGGGTCCGAGCTCTTCAGCTGCAGGTAGCACCAGGAGAGCAGGCTGCCTTGCACAGACCAGAAGAGAGAGTAGAGCACAGAGCCAAACTCCCCATGGGGCCCACTGAGCATCAACAGCTCACACTGCAAGGAAGCGGACAAACAGGAAGTGTCTAAACAAGGCTGTCACATAACATAGGCAGGTGCCCTCTCTACAGGATCAACTGTCACTAGTAAAAAACATACCATGCATATGGGGAATAGTCATGAAAGAGCTTTCAACCCAGGACTGAACCAAGAAAGATGGCATTAGGAAAACTCCCTTCTTGCCGCTTTGTGGAACCTCTCAAGTAGTTTTACTTCACAGGATAGCTCCTTCTGCACCCCAGAAAGCCCACCTCACTGCTCATCTCTTCCTTCTCTCACATCTTCAAGTTCCTTCTCTCTCTGGGTTCTTCCCCTCTGAGCCTTCAATCAGATCACTCCTATCTTAAAATAATTCTTTATCCTTTTATGACTCTCTTGTGAGTATCTCTAAAGGGTCATCTGACCACTAGAGAGAAACTGTGGAGCATAAGAACCACAAGCTATGTTAATATTGGCATTGTCTTCAGTTAATTGCTACAAGCTGAAACCAGTCCATCTACCCCTCCAAAGTAAAATGGATAAATTGTGACAACTGTACACCAGTGAATATAAATGACAGTACATGAATCAATATGAATGAATCTCAAAAACATTGCTAAGTAAACAAATTCATCACAGAAGACTGTATGCTATATGAGTGTGTTAAAGGTCAAAACCTAGCAAAAAACATGGTATGCAGGTATAACTAGAAAGAAAAACAAGGAACTGGTGGGCTGGTGAGTGGCTCAAGTGGTAAAGCGCTTGCCTAGCAAGTATCAGACCCCCCAGTTCAAGTCCCAGTACCATCAAAAAAAATAAATAAATAAACAAAAAACAAGGAACTGATGAACACCTTTTAGAATAGTTGTGGTATACAGAGGATAGAAGAAGGTGAACCATGAAAGAGAATGTGAGAGGGGTGATTGGACTTTAGAATCCAGTCATTAAACAGAGAGTTGTTTCTGCAAATTGTACATCCACACAAACTCTTTTGTTTGTGCATCTCATTTTAAAAAGGGGCCTTACTCTGGGCTGGCGGAATGGCTCAACTGGTAGTGCCTGGTAAGTGCCAAGGCCCCGAGTTTAAACTCCAGTACCACAAAAAATAAATAAATAAATGAATAAATAAAAAGGAGCCTTAATCTGCTGTGATTTTGCTCCACTCCTTCCTCCATTCTTCTGCTTTGGTGGACCCCACTCCCCAAAGGCATCAGTGACTGCCTTGAGGCAAAGTCTCTACTGAATTTCAGTGGCTCTGCTGACCTCTGCCCCTCTTAAGGTTCTCTCTCTTCTCCCCCAGCTTCTGCCTCCCCTGAATTGCTTCCTGCCAGTCCTTCCTACTCTTCTGTATGCTCCCCTTTTCTGTAGATTTCAAGATGCCATGGGTGATGTGAGGCTATCCACAGTCATGGCTTCAACTATCATCTGTTTGTTACTGATTACAAATCTCCAGCCCCGACTCCTTTCCTGAGTGTGCAGCCAGATCTTACCATCTGAAGGCCATCAGAACCATGAACCCTGCATGTTCAGAGTCCACACATTACCATGGCTTCTACAGACACTTGTTCCTTCCCATCTCATCACAGGCCTGCTGCATGTGCAGTTCCCTCTATCTGCAACACCTCTATCCTCCTCTTTGTTGGTCAAGCCTTGTTTATGGTCAGACACTGAGCTCTACTGCTACCTTTTCCAAAATGCCTTTCCCCAGCTCCTCTCCTCTGCTACACTTCCTCCTCCTGAGCCTTGTTCCCACCCTCTGACAGGCTGCTGCAGGGTTAGAACTATCTGATCACATGTTTGTTCAGGCTGCTCTTTATTCTCACTCTATCCCCTGTTCCTAGAACAGGGCCTTGCACACAATAGGTAGACACTGTTGAGTTAACAGACATCAGGAAAATCTCAGGTGAGGCCCACTTTTGACCACTTTTACATTTTCCTTCTAATCCAACTCTACCTATTTAGGATAACCATGAATGTTTTTACTGAAAAGTAATTCAGAGAACAGTGTTAGAGGCTCAGTGATCTCTGGCCTAGGAGACTCAATCACACCTGTAACTTCTTTTATGTCATAGGTGAGAGAAAGAGAAGAAAGGACAAGCACTTGATCTCTAAGTGATAAGGGTTACAGAAATTCTATTGGACAAATGTCACTTTATGTTATTTCTTCACATACATCTTATAGCCTGGGTGACCTAATGGAAAGAGAAAAAGACTCAGAGTGCAATAGCCTGGGTTTCAGTCCTGGCTCAGCATCAACCATCTCCTCCCTGGGAAGGCACAATTAGCACTGATGAAGACCAGTAAGAACCCTGAAGTTTTCTGCCCAGTGGCCCTTACAGTGTGACTGCAGAGGAAGAAATAATGAAGGCAAGAGCTTAGATGGGCTTCCAGGTCTGAGGAACAGGCAGAACTGAAATGAAAGGGAACATGTAGGGATGGAAGAAATAAAGACAGAGAGTAGACTGTGCTGTGGCTAACTGGGTGGAGAGCACATGTTGATGAGCAGTAGGTTGGAATGAGAATTTTAAGGTCGACTCAGAGCTGGACAGAAGGAGTCTAGAAGAAAAATTAGTGTGAAAGCAAGAAGAACACTGACCAAAAGTAAAGTATATTCTAGCTTAAAGAATATAGACACTGGGTCAGGAATGGTGTCACATGGCTGCAATCTCAGCTACAGGAGGCAGAGATTAGGATCAGGTGGTTCAAGGTCAGCCTAGGCAAAAAGTTGGCAAGACTCCATTTCTCAAAAACAAGATGGGCACAGTGGTTCATGCCTGTCATCCCAGCTACACAAGAAGTGGATATGGGAGGATTGAGGTCAAAGGCTGGCCCCAGACAAAAATGTGAGACTCTATATGGAAAAATAAACTAAAGCAAAAAAGGGATAGGGGTGTGGCTCACGTGGTAGAGCACTTGCTTAGTAAGTGTGCCACCACAAGTTTAAACCCCAGTTACTGATCCCTCTGCATTCACATCCCTGTGTGTTCATGGAGGTCTTAACAAACATTCTTGTGGTTTTACTGCCTGCTGACTGGAAAGGGCAGGAAGGAAAGGCCCCCTCACTTGTCTGCAGGGCTGGCTGGAAACCTGTGTCCATGTGCAGTAAGAAAGCACAGTCAGGGCACACTGGCAGTCGTGTCGTGTGTTCATAGGAGCATGAGGCAAAGGAAACAGGGAGGTAGCTGGGTGATACCTCTCGAGCAGCAACAGAGAGGAGGGTGTTCATGACCGCCAGGACTTCACCGATGTTCATGCTAGCCAGGTCGCTTTTCTCAGGTAAAAGGAGAAGGCCACCTGGGTCCTGATCGCTGAAAGAACACAAACTCGTCACAACCCCTGGTTGCAGGAAAGGGATTTTCATGCATTGTATTTTAAAAGGTTTCAAAAAAGAACCCAGAGAGAGCTCAGTGTCAGTTCTCTGGAATGGGGGGAATTTGGGTCAGAAAGACAGAATCTGGGACTGTGCTACTGTCTGTCCATATGTCCTTCAAACAGCACAGACCCATAAATTATTTTGACCACCAATATGAAATATACCTGATCTCATTACTGGTAACTGGAGAATTCAGTCTAATGGTACTACGTGTATTCAGATATTCTTCACATGACAGCCCCAGGCTCTACCATCATCCTTGCTAACCAATTCTGAAAGCACTTTATACAAATAGCACTAAGTCTGGAATCCATACCAGGTACAGTCTGACTTGTAGGCAGTTGCTCAGTCTATTAGTTCTCTTCCTTCCTTCAAGCATCTAGACCCACATTAATACATCCTGAAGGCTTCTCTGATAATCACAAATCTCCAAGTTCTCTCCTCCCAGCATACTGCTTTTTGTAAATTACCATTCTGTGCTTTTGCAGTTGTTTTTAACACAGTTGGGTTTGTAGGACCCCAACATCCTTTGGCTTTATTTTTGTGGTTAAAACTCACTTACAAACAGGAGTTCTCAAAGAAGTTCAACCTTAACTTGTCTTATAATGATTGGGACTTGGATTAAGTTCTTGACAAGACTATCATTCAACCATTATTTTAGTCACTCTTGTGTCTAGTAATGATTCACTCCAGAAACTAGGTGTTCTAGCTAGGTAAGGGAAGCCCTACTCTAAAAAACATGAAGGCGCAGATAAAGAAAATGACTTTGCAAAGATCTGAACTATTTGACAATTGAAGAGAATCACTTACCTAAAATATGTGCACAATGAACGGAATGTGAGCCGCAGGGATTGCTTGTGCTCCTGCTCAGTGATATTCTTCTAGAAAACCAGAAACTGACATTCAGAAAATCTATTGCATGACACTCCAGAGACCTAGAGCAGCATGAAGTATCATCACACACTAGTCCCAAATAAGAGGAAAGTAGGGTCAGCAGGCCGCCTCCATAGCGCCCAACTAGGAAGTGCTTGGAAGAAGCAGAACCTACCACCTATAAAGAAAAAGGCAAGTGATTTTGGTTCACTGCCAAAAGTAACATCTGCAAACTTTCCTTCAGGGAAGTCTGATGCAAATGCTGAGGAAACTGACCTCCAAAAGATGTGTACTCTTCTTCACCTTGGACATGCCATCCCAAGAACAAAAGGGACAGAGTACATTTCTTATGAGCTTTCTATTTTTGAACAAAGTCAAAGCTGTCCCTCTGTTTTATAGTTTTATACACTATGGTGACAGTTACAGGAATCACACCTTCCGACAGGGCTATGGGATTACTTTGGGGGGAACCTTTTTTTTTTTTTGGTGGTACTAGAGTTTGAACTTAAGGCCTCACAATTGCTAAGCAAGTACTTAGCCACTTGAGCCACACCCCCAGTCCTTTTATGCTTTTTTTTTTTTTTCAAGTAAAGTCTTAAGTTTTACCAGGGACCAGCTTTGGACTGGGATCTTCCTACCTATGCCTCCCAAGTAGGTTGGGATTATAGACACATGCCACCATGCCTGGTTTATTAGTTGAGATGAGGTCTTGCTAACTTTTTGCCTGGACTGGCCTCAAACCACAATCCTCCTGATCTCTTCCCAAGTAGATGGATTACAGGCATGCGCCACCACCCAGCCTGGGAACTTATTTTCTTAAATAAATGTAGTGAAAACCTTCTGCTATATGTAAGGCACTGAGGGGGACTGCAGAAGATTTAAGACCCAGACATAGAACAACGGAGTTAATAAGACATGGTCACAATGAACACAACTGTCTAAACAGAGAACTATTTAGCACTGTAAAAGACTATCAATGCTGTTCAATTCATCAGCATGGGAAGGGTAAAAACAACTTTTACCAATGCTGTCCAAAGGAACAAGCAAAGTGAAAGAGATACTAATGTCATTCAAAAGGTCACACACCCTCTTTCTAGTTTTTGTGTGGGACAAAAAAAAAAAAAATCATTCAGTACAGCTGGTGGAGTGGCTCAAGTGGTAGAGCCCAGCAAGCATGAGGCCCTGAGTTCAAACTTCAGGACCACAAAAAAAGAAAGAAAGAAAGAAAGAAAATCATTCAGTAAGTGCTTCCAGGAAAGAAAAGTCATTGGGAAAATGCTTCCAGGAAAGAAGTAGGACAGATCTTTGTACAGGATATTCTATTTGGTAACAGAGTGCTTGTAAATACTGAAAGTACCTTTCTACCCCAGTACTAAATCTGAGTAACATGGAGAAAGAGCCTACAAGGATGAGAAAAATCAGTTGAGGATTAAAACTTGGTTATATTTTCTTTACAGATATATTCTGAAATATTTATGAATAAAGTAGGTCAGGGATTTACTTCAAAGTAATAGTAGGTGGGAGGAAGAAGGGAAGAGAAGGTGAAGTATATTATACATAAAATAAAATTAGCCTGAGTATATCATTATTGAAACTAGGTGATGAGTATAGATGGGAGCCAGAAGGATTCATTATACCATTTAGACTAATACTGTATTTATTTTAAATTTTCTCATAATTTGAGAAAGAAAAAGAGAAGAAAATTTGGTTGTAGGAAAGTCTTAAAATTGGAGACTAAACTGTGACTTTGTGAGACAATTGCTTATAAAATGTAGATTAGGATTGAACACAGTGCCACATCCTTTGATAGCTGTGTCCCACACAAAGCTTCGCATATAGGAAGTATCAATAAACTTTTGAGAAATTAAAACCGGCAATATATTCAGATAAAAGAGACTAATAATTACCATCATGGTGAAGAGATGGTTCCGACGGGTCTGTCGATCAGGAAAGAAGATGGCAGCCCCATTGAGAAGGGTGTTCCTTACTTCTTGCTTTAATATCTCCATGGACATAGACTCTCCATTCACCCTATCTACCACTAACAATAGACAACAATGGAATCAATCTTAATATATACCATCTATTCTTCACAATGTCCATCTGCTATAATTAGCCTACAAACTCACTACTCTCATTTTGTAGTTAATCCTAGAGCAAAGAAATACTTTCATATAGGTTAGGCAGCATAAAGAAATTATTTTTTGTTTACATTTAACTAAAACAAAGACTATATGAGCAAGTTTGGATTTTTTCTTTTTGGTGGTACTGGGGTTTGAACTCAAGGCTTTGTGTTTTCTAGGAAGGTGCTCCATCACTTGAGCCACACCTCTAGGCCACAACTTTTTATTTAATTATTTCTCTGTACTTTTTGAGATACAACCTGAAACCTTAAAAATGTCACATGGTAGCATGCATTTAATTATCAATTTATTACTATCTTCCCCCTCAATCTATTGCCTTTGCCCCAGTGATTTAACTAAAATTAAGGCTGAAGAGTGTGACAATAATTACCCTCAATATAACAAAGCTATATATCTAAAACTAGGAGGAAGAGAATTCAGCTAACGAAAGAATAAATCCAGAACTCAAAACAGTAACTCAAAGAATATCAAAAGCAATGTCCATTTCCCAGTGATAATCCCTTTCTGGTGTGCATGATCACAGGAGCCCCCACAAATGCTCCTTTACAGCAGCAGACTTGTGACCACCAGTACAAGGTTGCATTCAAGATCCACCCCATCCCTACCATCACTTAAGTGTGTGTAGAGCTCCTTGGCAGCCTGCATTCTCTCAGGGTGCTGGGCTGGAGGCTTCTCCTCCTCAGAGGCAGCCGGTGTGTCTCCTTGCAGCACTGAGAAGCAGCTCTGCAGGAGCTGCAGCAACAGGGTTTGGGCACAGATGCATTCTTCCCTTGGGCTGTAAGAGGACAAGGAACATCAGAGGGCAGAAGGGCAAGTTGCTTTCCCCCTCCAAAGCCACGCAGCTGTCTACAAAGACTCTCCTCAAGGCATGCAGCTCAGTGAAAAGAATGCCAAGGGAGAGGAGGCAGGGTGAAACAGAAAAAACACTGTACAAGAATCTGAAAACACAGACCCATTTGACTCTGCCCATTGTGGGGAAGGAAATTCAATTCTGATCCCACTTTGTCATCTGTAAAATGAGGAGACATAAAGAGTATCCTTTATCTGAAATGCTAGGGACCAGAATAGAAGAGTTTCAGATTTTGGAATCTTTGCATATATATAATTAGATCTCTTGGGGGGATGGAACTCAAGTTTAATGAAATTCATTTGTTTCATATACACTGTTTACACATAGTATGAAGGTTACTACAATTTTTTTTTTTTCTTAAATCAAATTCAGGCCTTGTGCATGCCAAGCAATTACTCTGTCACTGAGCTATATCCTCATTCATACTATTTTTTTGGTGCAACTTTGACTATGATTCATCACATGAGGTCAGGTGTGGAATTTTTGACTTCTGGCATGCAAAAGTTTCAGATTTTTGAATCACTTCAGATTTGGGATTTTTTGAATAAGGCAAGCTCAACCTGTACTATTATAATACTTGATCTGCTTATCCCAAAAGTTGTGAGGAGGGTAAGAAAATGTTAGTGAAAATACTTCCTAAATAAAGTATTTTATAGAAATGTGAGGTATTATTTAGACAATATATTTCAAATCAGAATATATACCTGTATGAAGTAAAAATATTTAAGAGAAAAAAAAGACCATTTAGAATAACAAAATTTGGTGTTTTCACCAACCTTATAATGAATTCTGACCTACTTTTGCTTTAATTTACTGTAAAAATTCCAGAAGATCTGCAAATCAAGACCCGCGAAGTCCAGAAAAGATTTATATTTTAAGCCACTTTCCTTCTGCTGCACCTAAAAAATTGTAAAGACCAGAAAAAGTAAAACTGAAAAATAAATTTAGAGTAATATTATAAAGCCACATTTACTTGTCATTGTTAATGGCAGAGGTAGCTCCACCTGGGTAAAATCCTACACAACTAACACTTTTATTTAGCTGCTAAAAAGTGTGTCAATAGTACTTTTGGTGTGATACTTTTTTCTGGGGAATGGGGGTGGGTGACTGGGGTTTGAACTCAGGGCTTTGTGATTGTGAAGCAGGTGCTCTACCACTCAAGCCACATCTCCAAGCCATTTTGCTCTGTTAATTTGGAAATGGAGTCTCATGAACTATTTGCCTGGAGTGGCCTCGAACCAGGATCCTCCCAATTTCAGCTTCCTAAGTAGCTAGGATTACAGGCATGAGACACGTGCCTTACTTGGTATGATATTTTCTAAAATGTGTGCAGCATATCTGTACATGTGTGTATAAATGTCTATATATGCAAAATACTCCTAATGCACACATACAAGCAAAGGCTCCCTAACTTCATAACACAGCATCTGGAACATACATAAATCTTTATTGATGATGACAATATCCAGGCTTGTATTGCAGTATGTTTGACCCTTCCCTGCATGTGGGCTGAACTTCTGTTGTAAACCCAGCTGCTACTCCTAGGGCCTCTTCCTGTTTTCTGCTATGACAGGAGCTCTGGGATAGCAAACACTCAAGAAGCCAAATGTACACTGAATCACCAGCTTCTCAATATGCCCTGAGCAGAAGGAAGGCAATGGGTGGATACTGCTGTATATATGAGAAGGCTTTACTGGATTCCTAAAAAAGTTCCTTTGAGTGAGTTGTCACTATAAAAGTCAGCATCAAAAACACAAATGATCTTAAATCTGACAGTTTAGTCCTTTCAGTAAATGAATAAAATTCACCTAGACTTCAATAATAATTCTCCTAAAACTTAAAGAAGACATAAATCCTATGAACTTGCTTTGTTTGCCTCCCCAGGGCAGCCACAGCTTGAGATCTTTACCATGTGTGTGTACATCTATTCCAGGAGACCTCACAACATATGCATTTAGTCTTTCACTGACTGGTACTACAATTGCCTACTTTCCTTAGCCTTACAATGTCATTTTGCAGCATGCTGGTTGTCATGCTTATTCATACTGCCATGGCTTCAGCAGGCCAGGTTTCGCTGGTTGGTGTTCACTTCCCTTAACAAGATCACTCATTTTTCCAAGAGAAAGCAGTCCAACAACTGAGGAAACTTACCAGGTCATGGGCAAGCTGCTGGATGAACTGCAGAGTCCTCAGGAGTAGGGTGGCCCCACAGACTCTCTCTGTGTCCTTTCTGCCGTGGGCACAGAGGATTCTTTGCTCTGCTTCTGCTCTTGCAGGGCGGAGATACCCACAAATGCTCAAGCCTTGTACTCCCAAGCGCTCTGCTGACTCCTGACGGGTGCAGAGGAACTTCACCATCAAATACTGGAAAGGATAAGAAAGATCTCAAGAGAAGACTCATCATTGTGATGAAAGGGCGGAAAGGCCTTTCTGGGAAGGTCTCCCTATTATCTTAATAATTTACTAGGTACCAACATATCCAACACTGAGGACACAAGATATAGGTTCATTATGTACAATGAATAGAGAACAGATAATATAAAAACCAAATGAAGTCAGATTTTGTAAGAGAGATGGCCCTTTTAAAGGCAAAAACATGACAAGAATACAAGAAGTACATTTCTTTGGCACAGTCATTTTTGAAACAGAAGTCTGACATGTGATAAAAACAGTCAATGCCCTATGGAATCACCTCAAAGTCCTCAACTGGTATGTACAACTCTTATGTAGGAGCCAGGGACATAGTCTTGTCTGTGCAAAGTGAAGGCCATTTTCAAAGCCCAAATTTTGTACAAACTGTCTGCTTTTTACAGTAAAATCTCCTTTGTTAAAGGCTTTTCTGAATCTACTACTCAACTGAATAAATATTTATTGTGTATCTACCATATGCAAACCTTGAAGATAGATCTGAATTCTCTTATTTAAGTCTAAGTCTAAGATTCATACTTGAGGCTAAGTAGCCAGATAGCCAGTCTCTTTTCATAGCCAGGGAAGCACATCTCACTTATAAACATGCCTGTGTACTCGCTGTCCTCTCAGCTGAGATCCTCTTCTCCACACATCTCAGCCAGGCTAAGGATGATGGCTTAACTTTCAGCACTTGGCATCATACCACCTTTCCTAAGAAGCCTTCCCTGGTGAATTCCAGGCTCAGTTGAATCTTCTCTTCTGAGCTTCAACAGCTCCTGAATCTTCCATTATCACATCGGTCCTTCCCATTATATGAGGACATCCTTAAAGGCTGCCCCGTCTCTGGGGCTCCAGATTTGGCACAAGGATAGCTCACAATCAGCACAGTGTTTATAGACTCAGAAGAGGGGAGGGGGAGAACAGGTGAAGGCCATGCTTACTAATGCTTACTTTGGCTACTCTGCACTGCTGCAATTTGACATCTGCTTCATCCCACTCTTCTTCCAGCTCAAACCAGCCAATAGGATCATCTTCTCCAAGGACATCAGATGAGCAACCAGTCCTGTAAACACAAGGGCAATCACAAGACAGTTTCCTATCTCTAAGCTTCTCTAGAACCTGACAAGTAAGGTTATATCCCAAGTGGCATTAACTTATATATAAAGCCTGTCAACTGACAGCAGGGACCATGTGTGGCACCTGTCCCTCTGGGAATGCATGAGGTAATTTATAGTAAGTGCTTCCTGTTTCTCAGGTTCCTCATCTGTGAACTGAGAACTAAGGAGAAAGCGTGTTTCTCTACCTATCAGCTGATCTGAAGAGCAAGACCTGAAGTCAGGCATTTTGCTGAGATCTTCACCAGTGAGGCACAATGGTGGATGCCTCTGGAAACAGCCAGGGAAAAGGTGGGTGTGGCTTCCCCAGCTCTCTTTTCCCAGGTCTGGGAAACCAGTGTGTGACCAGCCTTCCTTAAGAAATCCTTCTAGAAAAGCATTCCAGCCTGGAAGCTGAAAAGCACAATTGTGGTCCATGTCTTAAAAAACGGAATAGCTAAATGCTGCTCCCTTTACAAAGATTAAATAACTAATGAAGGGCAGGCAGTCTTTTCAAGTACCACTCCTCAAACCTCACACTACTTAGCCTGTGACTCAGCTACCCATAGCAGCATGGGAGCAGTCTGGATGAATGCAACAAGCAAACACAGGCAACTATAGGAAGAAGTGGAAAAAGACAACCCAGAGTAGGTTCTGTAACAAAGAGGAAAAAAAATGTTCTCTTCCCAACATAGGTCTTTCTTGGCATAAACCTTTTGTGATACAGTTGATCCTAATGGACAGGTAGAATTTGCTTAGTCCAAAACCATGTCAACAAGTCTCATCCATAATGCATGTTTGAGGATTTTTCAATGTACTCTTTGGGAGCTAAAGATACAGCTCAGTGTCAGAGTGCTTACGTAGTATGTGTTCAATCCCTAGTTATGTAGCCCAGGCTGACCTTGAACTCATGGTCCTCCTGTCTGCACCTCCTAAGTACTGGGATTGAGATGTGCGCCACTATGCCCAGCAAAAAGTTTAACTCTTTAGAAGTCATAAAGGAAACTGTAATACAGAGAGCTGGCAGGAGAAGCAACCTTGCTCACAAAACTATATTTCATAGTAGGCTATACAGGAAGAGTTGATACTAATTCTCTTAAGTATGCAGAGCAGTCAAATAGCTGGCCTGAAGCATGCTCCCTGACCAATGCTGAAACAACAAGAACAAAAGTGGGCAAACAGATGCATGCACATAAACTTTCTGATTTCTAACCTGGTGAGGGACTGATAATATGTAGGTCACCTAAATCAGGACTTTTGAGTAACTCAGAAAAGAGCCAGTTCAAATCATTAAGGAACTAATGAAAAAGCCTGTGTTTAAGTTTAAAAAAAAAAAATCATCCTGATGTGAAAGACCTTGCTTGACAGAAGGTTGTGAGAAAAAGACCTATTTTTAAATGTCCCAGGAGCAGGACGTGGCCATTTAAAAATAGGTTTCATTTGTAGCTATTATTAACAAAAGAAAACCATCTTTTAAAAAGGCATATGTTTATGATGGCAGGGAGATTTTAGGAATAAGTGTCTTTTGTTCCAATTCATTTAGGGAGAGAAATTTAAGATCATTGAGTAGAAATGATAAATGTAGACTTCACTTTCTAATTATTGAAGTACCTTAACAGTCAGTGAGATTTCCATCACTTGTATTCCGCAGAGGCTGAATGATCATTTGTCAGGGATGCTGTGGAAGAAATGTCAGCAGATAGGGAGGAACTTATCTGAGATTGCTAATGGAAGTGTGGTCCATGATGGACAGTGCCAGAGTCACCTGGGAGATTGTTGGAAATGAAAGTCTTAGCTGGGTATGGTGGTGCATCCTATAATATATCCCAGTACTTGGCAGGCTAAAGCAGGAGAAATTCAGTTTGAGACCAGCCTAGACTGAAAAAAAATGTCTCAGGCCCTATCCAGGGCTACTGAATCAGAACCTGCATTGTCACAAGATCCACTGGTGGTTTGTATGCACATTAAAGCGTAAATAACACTATACTGGATGATATTTAAAGACTTCTAATAACTTGAATACTCTCAGTACCTGTGAAACGCAGTAACACAAATGGCAAGTCTAGAGTCCTGCTCCATGAGTTCTAATAGTAAGTTAGGAGCATAAGGTATGTGTGTGAGGACACTGCTACTTGAGCCATGTCTCCAGACCTTTTAGCTTTAGGAGTTTTCCAAATAGGGTCACACTTTTATGCCCACATTGGCCTGATAGACAATCCTATGTTTATACTTCCCATGTAACCAGGATGATAAATGTGCACCACCACACCCAGCTTTTTTCATTGAGATGGAGTCTTAGGAACCTTTTCTGTCTGGGCTTGCCTTGAACCTCAATCCTTGATACTTCCAATTTCCACCTCATGAGTAACTAGAATTATAGGTGTGAGCCACTGTGCCTGACTCTCCAGGGTATTTTCTATCCTAGAGAGAGGCACTAGGTTCCCCATCTGCCAAGACCCCTAAACTCAGTGCCACTCATGCCTTCTTGCCCCTCCCACTCTCCAGTCAGTCTCCAGAGCCTGCTGCTTCAGACCTTCCAGGGGCATCATTATCAGTCCACTTATTCCACTGTTGCTGCAGCTGCTGTTTTGTTCATAATCATCCCAACCTCTGACTTCCTGGGTAACAGTGCAGCTTTCTTCCACACCCCCTGCCTCCATGCTTGCTCTCCTCCATCCATGCTGCCACAGCACAAGCCAGAGTAATTCTTCTAAAACACATATTTGTGCTCCTCACTCTTCTTCTCCAAATTCCACAATCTACTCTATCCTCCTGCCTGCTTTCCTCCCCTACCATGTCCACCTTGCTTTAAGGATAGGGTTGAATGCCCAACACAGAGATAAAGAAACCTCTTCCGACCTGGCCTTTTCCAGCTCTCCAACTCAGCCCTCACCACTCTCCCGACTCAGTGCATCTCATCCACACAGGACCTCCAGCTCCTTCAGTGTGCCATCCTTCACCTGTGGGCACTCATGCCTGCTTTTCTCTTTGTGGCTGTCCTACTTCTTCAAGCAGCTAGTCAACTATAACTCATCCTTCAAAAACAGCACTGCACCACTGGCTCCAGGACACCTTCCATAATCAGCTGAAGTGCCCTGTGTTTGCTTCTAGCACTTTTCTGCGCAGCACTCCTAACATGTCAACATTCATAGGTTTGGTGTTTGCCTTCTGCACTAAGCCCAAAGCTCTCTACAACAGGGGTTATGCCACTTCCCTCACTGCGGTATTGTTAGTGCCTAGCATCAGGCCTGGCACATAGTAGGTATTTAGTAAATATTTTCAACAAAAAGATGAAAGGAAGCAGGGAGCTAGAGGTAGAAGTAAATTTCCCAGTGGCCAGGTAAGACTGAAGACCTCAAGCTGTCCCCAATTCAGGCATGCATCCATCCCCAGCCATTTTGAAGATCTGTACCCCTGGTGCCAAAGGGGCTAAGTATATTAACGAATTAACACCCATCTTTGTATATGATACTAGAAAGCAATGATACTTATGGCCACTGAGGCAGGCAGTTGGGTTAGTGGCATTGTTCTGTTATAGACAAGGAAGTACAACTAACCAGTAAGAGAATAAACACATTCTTATTAACCACATAAGTTTGTTTTGCTCCTTACCTGCATTTTACAAACTGCCTGAGCTCCTGAAGCTTCCATTTGTCATACTTTTCAAACCGTTTGAAGTGTTCTTCTGCATGAAATTTATCAGAAGGTGAGTTATAGGCAAATACCAGCCCACACTGAGCACCAATGCCACCACGTCGAACCTGAAAGCAGAGAGGCAGCTGGAGAACTATTTCTAATTAATATGGTATATTCAAACAGCCTGAGGCAAAACCAAACCAATGAAACAATTTTGAAATATATTAAGTCCCAGAAAAAGAAAGCTACTTCTCAAGAAATGTTCCTTCATTTTCTCCATCCTTACAGTCACACCATTCAGAGATTTATAAATCTACCCATCTTTATGTCCCTGCCCTCTGCTACAGGGATGACAGACCAACAAAAAATCAATGACATGGACCTGTGAAGTGTAATCCCATTACCTAAAAAAAAAAAAAAAGGTAGCACAATTGCTTCAAGAAGGTAGCCAAATTACCATAATTCTGATTTGTGTAACTTGGAAGGCAGATTCAGTTCCTGTAGAAAAAATAGTACTTGCTCTGGTTTTTCCAGTTTCTGTAAGAAAACCTGAAAAAAAGGAAAAATTAAAGTGAGGATAATTGATCCATTTTTATAACAAAAGCAACAAAAATAAGGAATAACTAGTCTATCTGGTATCTTCATGAAAATTAGAAAAATTCCCTTTGAATCGATGCAACACGTGCCCCCAAAAACCCAGAGAAAGCGCAAGGTAAACAGAGCATTGCCAGGCACTATTCCCCCAAGGCACAATCTCTTCAACCTCATAGGCAGTCTAGCTCTGGTGCTGCAATAAAGAAAGGAACATTTATGAAGCTTGTCACTTATTATTATGGAGGTGAATTACCACATCCAGCTTGTTCTTTGAGATAGGGTCTTGCTAACGTTTTCCCTAGGCTAGCCTCAAACTGTGATCCTCCTATCTCCACCTTCTAAGTAGCTGGGATTACAGGCAGGAGCCACTGTGCCTCAGGACTATGACTTTAAATCAAAGAGAAAGATGACTGGATAATCAATCATCTTCCTGAGCCATACCTAAAACTGTGCCTGATGTTTGACAGGGCTGATAACACTGATAAAGCAAACAAGCTTACAGGTTGAGAAAAGGATTAGTTAGCTTCTTGAACACTCTGTCAGGGCTGGGCTGCCTGTCATCCTAGCTACTCAGGAGGCAGAGATCAGGAGGATCACAGTTTGAGATAAGCCCAGGCAAACAGCTCACAAGACCCTATCTCAAAAACATCCAATACAAAAAAAGGGCCTCACATTTTCTAGGCAGGTACTCTACCACTTGAGTCACAACCCCAGCCACTTTTGCTTTAGTTATTTTTCAGGTAGGGTCTTGTCGTTTTTGCCTGGGCCAGCCTGGACCTCCATCCTCCAACTTATGCATCACCCAAATAGTTGGGACAACAGGTATTAGACATCATGCCCAGCTTTTGTTGAGATGGGGTCTCACTAACATTTTGCCTAGGCTTGCCTCAAACCACAATCCTTCTATCTCCTCTCCCCAATAGCTGAAATTACAGGAGTAAGTCACTGTGCCGGCCAATTTTTCTTTTTCTTTTTCTCCCTCCTTCCCTCCCTCCTTCCTCTTTCTCTCTGTCTCTCTCTCACCCTCCCTCCTTTCAGCCAGGGTCTTGCTGAACACAGGCTGGCTTGTGATCCTCCTGCCTTAGCCTCCCAACTGATAGAATTGCAGATGAACACCACCACAGCCTAGGGCTAAATGTGGTATTTTAAATCTATAACTGTTTTGACACCCAGTCTGCTATTTGTCAAATTTAGTATCTTAAGATACCAGGTAGAAAAACAACCAGTCATAGATTTAAAGGACTTAATATATTTATCACTTCAATTTCTACCAGCAGTTTTCCTGTAAGATACTGGCCAACTGGCAGTGGCTTCCAGGAATGTCTACCTTCTGGTCTGTTAGCATTTGTTCTCCAGGCACCCTTGGGCACTGCAGTGGCACTCTTCCACAACTGGTACTTCCCCACAGTTGGGGAACTTGAAGTGTTCCAATGAAAGAAATTTTACTGTTAAAAGGGAGGGGGAAAATCACTTCTCCAAACCTAGAAGTTCTGGCTGTGAGGTATTTCCTCCTGCCCTGTCTCATCAGGCTTGTTTTTGATAGGTGAGCAAGAGAGACCCATAGGCAACCTGAGGTACAAGAATCAGGGAAGTGCTGTGAAGGGAGCACCCAGGAGAAGCTGAGGTCTTTTCCCCACACCTGTCCACACCATACCCTCCAGTTGCTCTGAACCACAACAAAAATAACAATCCCACCAGCTACAGCTCCATTTTAAAAATCCACCTATCCCAGGTCAGTGGAAGGTAGGAGAGAAAGGTGGGTAGATGGAAGACACAAAGAGAATAACAAAGTATTCAAGTCAGACTAAGCAAAAGAGCTGTCAAATGCATCTTCTAGCTGCAATGGTATTAAAAATCCACATTGTAAGCCAGATGTGGTGGCGTAACTAGTCAGGAGTCTGAGGCAGGAGAAGTACAAGTTGGAGGTCAATCTAGGCATCATAGCAGGACCCTGTCTAAAAACCAAGCCAAAAAAACCCCATATTCTGTCAGAAGAGTCTGCTTTCACATGCTACCGACAAAATTCCAATTCTTCAGAGTGAAGGGAAAATGTAGAGGTCTTTGGTAAAATGGTTTGGCCTTTCTTGGATAAAGAGAAGGAAAAAGTGCAGAGAACTGCCATTACCTCCTCCCAAGCCTACCAGCTCTAGATGGCAGGTGAAGCATGGCTGGCTGTGGCCTTCAGGATGGCAGGAGGTGGGTGCAATGAAGGAAGTGTCTCTATAGAGACTGAGCTGCTCAGGGAAGAGTTCAGGGAAACTGGTTTGTGCAAGCCTATTGCTGAAAAGGACACCAAGGAAAAAGGGAGCCCCTAGGAAAGCATGTTTTTCCAGGGGGCTATTCTTCACTGGTACTGAGAATGAATACAAGAAACAGGTTAGAAAAAAGGCAGCACTGAAAATGTCTGAAACTGGGCTCTGAGGAAAGCCAAGGGGAAACCAAATTCAAAGTGGGAAGGCCAGGCTCTTTCAGTATGTTATAGATGCTGCAATGTTCCATTTCCTTTATTGAATCAGTAGGATTCAAAGCAGTTTAGTGAGTACAAAAAAGGCACATAGAAGACATTGATGGCGTGGACTAGAAAAAAGGCTCACAGTCAGTCTAGGTTGAGAAAAAGAGCAGATGGCAAGATGAAGGGCACATCAGCAATTCTCATGTTGGCAAGAGAATGAGTGTTTCCTCCCAACACGGCAAATGGTCAGGCAGCTCTATCGGGAAATGTCTTCTTCATTATGTTTTCAGGAGGATGGCTACTGAGTCACTGTGTTTCTTAATATTTTAAGCTAACATAACAAAAAGATAATCTAAATTTAAAAACAGTAACTTTTTCTATTTGAAGAGGAAGAGTCCTTGCTTTTTAAAATTTCAGGGGGGTGGAGGGAGAAGTGGTACAAATAACATATATACATGTAAGTAAATGTAAAAATGATAAAAGGAGAAAAAAATAAAATTTCAGTGCTGAACAGCATTCAGGGTTCAAATACTTGTAAGCTAGCATGAGTCATTAATGTCAAGACAGACTACAACTAAACAGGAGAAAGGATTCAGAAAACAACCTGAGGCTCAGGCTACACATCTGAAAATTTCAAAGACCAGAGTGTGGCTTTGTACAGTTGTCTACCGACACACTAGAAATAGATAGATCATCACTCACCGTCTCTTGTCCATGGCTCCACAAGGAGGTTTTCAGGTCCTGATTTGTCTTCTTTCCCTTTGACATCACAAGCCTGAAGAGTCAACTGGAGAGGTTTGCCTGACCAAAGAAAAGGGAGGGCAAGACTTAAGCTAGGTCCATGAAAACTAGCAGGCATACACATGGGTGGTAATACAGTGCCTGTGGCCACCCAGCCTGCTCACTAAAAGTTTACCTGCTTAAAAACTAAAATAGGGCAAGATTATTAGGCAAAAGTTGGCAGTATCCTTCTGTGCTTTCCTGAAAGAGACAAAGTACAGCTTATGTTCTTGAGTTATTCCAATGAGAAGTCTCTACAGCAATACTGTTTAGAAACAGAGCACATTATAACATAGGTTGATACCACAGACCCAACATATTTGGTGGGGTGGGGAATTCCTAAGATACTGTTTTGAAGCCAATTGTCAATTGTATTGGAATTGCATTTAATGTTTTAGGTCTTATTTCTTTAAAACATCTCTAAGCAAATTTTGAAAGTCTGAAGAATAAAAATCAACTTTTGCTATGATAATCTGAAAATGATTTTCTTTCAATACTATAAGGAATACCCATAACCTGTAACATAATCCAGAGCTAGATAATTACTAGTAATGTACAATTGCTAGTATACATCACTCCCCTCTCCACTCCTCCCTGTCCGAACAACCACCGATCTGAAAACTTTGTTTTTGTGGGGTCTTAATGCTTGCTAAACAGGCACTCCATTGTTTGAGTCACATCTCCAGCCCTTTTTGCTCTAGTTATTTTGGCATTAGGGTCTCACTTTTTGCCCAGGTTGGCCTCAAATTGCTATCCCTTCTGATCTCAGGCTCCCAAGTAGCTAGGATTATAGGCATGAGACTATGGTGCCTGGTTTGAATGGTAAACTTTTCTGGAAAACACTTCAGCTTCTAGATGCTACCTAACCAAGCCTGCTCTGGGCTCTCACTTCTCCAGAAGAAGATCCTTCCAAATATAGGGAGAAATTGAATTTATATACATCAATTGTTGGACTTTAAAACATAAAATAAATCATGAAGTCACAATAAGACAAAGGTACAAACACCATGGCAGAAATACCACAGCAATGCCTCTATGACTAAAGATGGTAAGATCTACTACTGAACTGTGAACCAAAACTTTACTAATAGAGGCCAGAATGGCAAGTAAGTTGTTGCTCACATGCCAGATACAGTGTTTTAGAACAGCTTTATGGGCTCCTATGTTGAGAAGGACTAGGGGGTCCCACCTTGACTTAGCAACAAAGTGCTAAGATGGATTGCTAGTGGGGCCAGGAGGTAAAGCCATGGCAAGCTTGTACACAAGTGATAACAGGGATGCAAAGAGATACATCCTAAGCCAATGATTCTGTTGTACCAGGTTGTGGCAAGCTTCTCTCTCCTGATGAGAAGTAAATCAGCTTCTCAAATCTCTTGACTTAAATAGTGACACACTCCTGTACTTCCCCAAAGATGGCTATATTCAAATGGCCATCACACTTAAAGGATTGTACCGGCAAATCCTGGGATTTCTGCCAAGTGACATTTGGGTGTCTTTTCTGCTGACCCTGCCATAATTGAGCCACAAACATCCCCCTTCTCCCAGCAACTCCAGTCAAAGATTGGTACTCAGATAATATGCTCACATAGGGATCAGGATCCAACTACAACAACATAGTCTACAAATTGCCTGGAAAGACCAGAAGATGCCAGAAGAGCACATGGTGAGGATGGCTTTATGATTTATCCACTGGCATGTTCATCATGCTCAGATCATTTACCATATTTGAGGAGCAGGTTCTGTCTGACGGATACCATGGATGAGATGAGGGACAAGGCATCATACTGTGTGTCCAGGTGGTCAGTGATGGTACACAGAGAGCTCATCACTTTGGCAATACTTCCTCTTGCCAGTGCAAAAGCCAGAAGAGTCAGTTCTACCTCTGGAGTAGAACAGCAGCTAGAAAGAACAAACAAAAAACTTCATTCCTGAAAAACATGAGAAAATCCAGATAGCTCAAACCCATGTGAAAAATCACCATTAAGTAACATTAATCTGCCACATACTTTCTAGATACTTACCAAAAACACCAATTCAAAATCCTTAAGGTTAATATAAGGAAAAGCTAAATCAACCCTGGGAAACAGGAAAGTAGATCTTTACATTTGTAACCTTAATCTATAAAAATGAAATGATACTAGTAAGCCAAAAACAAATGAGTTTCCACAGTCTCTGTTGTTAGGAAGCCTTGGGTAATAAGCTGACTTGGTCAAAAAGTTTTTGAGAAGCATGAAAAATTTATTTTAGATCCACTTCTTTTACTTTTATTATTATTATTACTACTTGCTTTACTGGGGCTTGAACTCAGGGGCTTGCGCTTGCTAGGCAAGCACTCTCCCACTTGAGCTATACCCCCAGCTCTTTTTGCTTTAGTTATTTTTTTGAGTGGTTCTTGAGTTTATGTCTAGGCTAGCCTGGGCTGTGATTCTTCTATTTAGGCTTCCTGAATAGCTGGGTTGGCAGGTGTGTGCCACCACCCAGCTTTTATGGGGTAAGATGGGGTCTTGCTAACTTTTTGCTCAGACTGGCCTTGAACTGTGATTCTCCTCATCTTTGCCTCCTTATTAGCTAGGATTACAGCTGTCAGCCACCATACGTGGCAAATTTTACACTTTCTAAACACATCATGATGAAATGTGAAACTATCTGGATATCTCAGGGACTAGTTTGTCTAATGCAGTACTATCATTTGGGCTCACTGAGGAGAGGTGAGCATCCCTCAACACTAAGTGCTCCCTTCTGTCAAGCTACCAAGGTGCTCTTTCTCAGTTCTGCAGACAGTAAGGCTATTAGCGGTATGTTTAAGGTAAATGGGCTGATTGAAGGCCAAAGCCAGGAAGGAGAGTGAATTGAGAAGCTTGCATTTTGAACTTGAAGATACTTCTAACTGAATTAGAAGCCTATTCCCTCTGCCCCCTAATTCTTCAAGTTAGGTAATATTGCTAGGTGATGGAATCCAGATGGGTAACTATTATTTCACTTTCTCTTTAGCTGCTAAAATTGGACCACTTTTAGTGGTGATCTTTTAAATATTAAAAAAATTTTTCCAAAGACTTAATAAGCATACATGCCATTCACTTGCCACAAGGAGTTCACTTCATCAACCTTGATTTTACCTAGTTATTCTTATGAGGAAGCTATCCACTTCTTCCAAAACATTGGGAGACAGGAAAGTTGAGAAGTCTGCAGATCCTGGTGAGAGGGAAAGTGGAGGCATGTGCTGCAGTGCCTTCCTGGAAAAGTAACATGTGAGATCAGAGCAAAGCCAGGCATCACAGTCAAAACCCATGAAGAAAAGCTCATGCTGGTCTATGCCTTACAAGCAAACAGACAGTATCCCTACAGAAAATCTGGTACAATGTAAGCTAGGTATTTGTCTCCAGGAGTCATACTGCTTTTTTTCAAGAAGTCCATCTCCCTCTATAAAAGCTTCCTTGATTCTCTGGAACTCACATTCATTTTAAGTAGTAAAAGGAAAACTCTGGAATTCTTACAAAAACTGACCCCAGAGAGAACAGTGTGTGACCCAGTAAAAAGTCTCCTTTATACATAGAATCTTAAGATCTAGAGCATCTAAAGAGGTGTCATGAGTTTTACTGTTTCCTAAACAGATCAGTACCATCACATTTTCCATTCTTGCCATGTTTCTTGGCCTTTCCACCTTGGTAACTGTTTGGTTTGTGGTGCTGGGGATGAAACTTGGGGCTTTGTGCATGCTAGGCAAGAGCTCTCCCATTTATCTACACTCCCAGTCTCTTAATGTCTATATTAATGTTTTCTCTTTTTTCATCTCCTCTTACAGTTATCGTTCTAAATTCCCCAGCAGTTTTGCCTCCTCTTGATTAGCAGTCACCTAAGAAATGTATGCAATAAATGATTACTGAGTGCTACTATGTGCCAGCAACTGAGTTAGGTGAGTGAGTATACCACAAAAAAAAAAAATCAAAGATGTTGTAGGAATGCATAAAAAATGAAAATTCTAGAATTGATCATTGGTGTTAAGGTCATGAAAGTTAAGGAAAGGATGAGGAATTACTCCAAACTAAAGGAAACTCTGAACAGACATGACAATGAAATGCAAACTATGACTCTGGACTGGATCCTCTTACTATAAAGGACATCACTGGAGTGACCTGTAAAACCTGATACGATCTGAGAATGTGATGGTAGCAGTGTAAATCAGTGTTAATTTTCTGATCTTAATGTTTGTTGGAAAATGTTCTTTGTAGGAAATACATACTTAAGTATTCTGGGACAATGGGGAACCACATTAGCGAATTATTCTCAAATGGTTGAGGAAGAAAGAAGAGCTCTCTGTATTATACTTGCCATGTTTCTCTAATTTTAAAAAGATTTAAGTAAAATAATTTTAAGCCGGGTGCCAGTGGCTCACATTTGTAATCCTAGCTACTCGGGAGGCAAAGATTAGGAGGATAAAGGTTTGAAGCCAGCACAGACAAATAGTTTGTGAGATCCTATTTTAAAAAAACCCTTCACAAAGCCAGGCACTGGTGGCTCATGCTTGTAATCCTAGCTACTGAGGAGGCAGAGATCAGGAGGTTTGTAGTTCAAAGCCCCTGGGGCAAATAGTTTGTGAGACCCTATCTCAAAAAACCCTTCACAGAAATAGGGCTGGGGGAATGGCTCAAGGTGAAGGCCCTGAGTTCAAGCTCCAGTACCACCAAAAAAAAAAAACCCAAACAAACAAATAAAAAAAACCACCAAAAACCAAAACAAAACAAAAAGACAAAACCCTTCACAAAAAAGGGCTGGTGGAGTGGCTCAAGGTATAAACCCCAGTACCCAAAAAAAAAAAAAATTTTAAAAGAGAAAGGAAGAAAGGAGTATGGCCAACTCTTACCCTTTGGATATAGCATTGCTAACAGTGTTATTTGCTGAAAAGTTTTATTTAATAGTGCTAACAAATCTCAAAAGATGTCAAGAGAAAATACTAGCAATATTTTTCTGATTGGTACTTTGACAGCCTACATTAACAGTGCCTATTATCAGTTAATTGAACCTACATAATACTAACATTTCATTTCTACTGAAGCTGGTTGTCTTTGTTTTGTGTGGAATGCTTGGGTTTTTGCCCTATCAACTTTTTAAGAGAAAAATTCAAAAGGTTATCTACATTTAAAATAAATTAGTTTAGTATCCTTGCAAAGATTTCACTCATTAATGAAAAGATCTCTCAACTTGGGAGTCCAAAGACCTAGATTCAAATTGATCCATCATTCCCTGGTTATGAAATCTCAGGGAGGTCATGATACCTTCATCTATAAAATGAGGATAAGTTTTTACTGGAGCATTTTAGTGTCAGTAGTAAAATAGCAGACAGCATTTGAAAATGTGCTATCTATCCAGGCACTGGTAGCTCAGGCTTAGAATCCTAGCTATTCAGGAGGCAGAGATCAAGAAGATCAAGGTTTAAAGCCTTCCCAGGCAAACAGTTTGTAAGACCCTATTTGAAAACATCCAACATGAAAAAGGGCTACTGGAGTGGCTCATGTGGTAGAGTGCCTGCCTAGCAAGTGTGAGGCTCTGAGTTCAAATCCCATTACTGAAAAAAAAAAAGAAGAAGAAAATGCTCTATCTAACATTCATTGCTATATAATCAGAGCAACTGTCCACAATGGATAAGAACAGGCACAGCATGAGTGACCTCACAACACTGGAGCACTTGGTGAGTTGATAAAGAAAGACACTAGAGGGGCAAGAAAGTGGAGGTGGTACTTCTTCAGAGTCTACAAAGTGCAAGAACCTCAATTAAAACAAGAAGCAATATACAGCTAAAAGGTACAAACAGAAAAAAACAGGCACCAAGGGCTGCACAGTTGACTGAGTCCCCACCATGGAAGGCTGCTCAGGACACTCCCTAGAGAGGTATGAGTATACCTTGACAAGGTAGAAAATAGAGTGACTTACTGAGTATTGTGCAGCACTGTCTGAACAAAGGCAGGATTTGTCTCCATAGAAGCGGTCACCAGAGACGTTAGCAGTGACCAATACCATATTGCAGAGGCATCTGAGACCGAGACCCCAGACTTCTTAACTCTTTGAAAGCCAACAGCCCTCAGACCATGAATCCTAGTATCACATCCATCACTAAGACAACGCTTTATGTTAATCTGGACATCTGTCAAGCACAAACAACAAATTCAGTATTGGATTAAATTCTTAGTTCAAAAACTTCTAGGCTATCAACTAAAAGCAAAATGGTAACTGACATTCTGAAAAGAAAATTCTTATGATATACTTTGGTGACAGACATAAACAATATGTGCAATGAAACTAGCACATAATAAATGTGTCTCAAAAACATTGATCAATCTAAGAATTCATAAAAATAATGTGTAAAATTAAGGATGGCTATCACAAAACTTCTGTGGAACTTTAAGTGTTAAAAACTGCATAGAGAGCATTTTATAAATGCATTAAGAACATTTCTAGAATTCCTAGCTGGCTTATAAGCAGTTGTGAGAATGTCTTTTTAATAATCAAGTCTAAACAGATGACATAGACACGACTCACTTTGAGCAAAGTCACAATTTCTTATTTGGTTGGAGAGAAGAGGTGAGAAGTTTAAAAGGACACAACTTAAGAGAAAAAAAGCACCATAGTATAAGGTAGGAAGCTTCTACTCCACAAGCTTAGCTACTTCTTTGCCTAGAGGTGAGACACAAAGACGCTACCTCCCTAGGCCTCAGTTCCTTTGAGCAAAGTAAGAACACTTCTTTTGGCCCAGGAAAACATTAGAGGAAATGAGACAAAACATGAAGCATTCCGGCTCTCTGAATGAAATAAGCCTGGAAAGAAATCACAGAATTGTGATTATTTCCAAATGCTGTATGTGAAGCAAGGTTACAATACACAAAACTGGAAACAATCTAAATGTCTAAGAATACAGGGTAGGTTAAAATTAAGACATATTTTTTACAACACTAAATAAAGGTGTTCATGAAATTATGATATGACGACACATTAAAAATACAAAAGAACATGAGCAGAATCACTATTTTTATAAAAAAGACATAAATATTTGCAAATGTATATATAATCCTATTTTTTAGAAAATGTGTACATTTTGTGTATGCATATGTTTATAAATATATTCACATAACTATACAAACACAAAGATCTGGAAGGATCCATACTAAGAAAGTAATAGTGATAATCCCCAAGTAGTAGCATGCAAGTATTTTTGTTGGTCTGTATTTTTTCTAATTGTCCAATAATAAGAAAAATATTTTTAACTAAGAAAAGGCTTTACTGGTTTTCTATAATTTTTAATAACACTTAATAAATGAAGTAATGACTACTTCTGTGTGTGTCATAAAAAGGAAATCAAATTTCCAAAATAAACTCCACACGCCATGCTGATAAAAAAATATTGCTTCTCTTCCTTCTCTCCCACTAATTTTGTTTGACTCACAGAGCTGATTGATGTTGGCGTTTTCCAGCAGCGTCACATAGCCTGTGACATTGCTGGGGATGTGCACATCTCGGACTTCCTGGAGATCACCAGCACTCCTCCCAACAGCTACTGTCACCTGCTGTGGCATGTAGCTCTGGTCAGTGGCAGCCACTGCAATGGACAGGTGCCTAAGCACGACATCTGGTTTCATTTTTAACCTGGAAAACACAGACAGCAGAAACAAGTGTTTATATGGGTCAAATACTGGAAGGGTCTACAGGTCTCACCTGGATGATCTTATATTTGCTATACCTCAAGACTGATACCCCAATAGAACTAACTTGAAATGCTAGCTATGAGTTTCAAAGTTTGTGTGACCTTCCTAAGTGACTATAAAGCCATTCGGTTCAACAGTAATCTTACATTTCCTTTAAAGCTACTAGTATAGGCAGAACTATACTAGGATAGGAACATTCTATCAAAATTCCTACACTGAAGCTCTGAAGCAAATTCTAAACTGCATCCAAAAAACGGAGTATGTTCCCTCATCTATAGATTAGATGGCTAAAGGTAAAACTATGTCTGCTAAGAGAAAACAAGACATTATTTCTATTTCTGATATCCGAAATTAGCCCATTTTCTGAAGGGACAGTTGAAAATTTAGATAGAAACTTCAGAACTTCTAAAAGTATCATAGTTACTGTCATCAACTCCAGGATTCTTGACCATCCCACTCCCTCTTCTGAATGGATTAACTCATACAGTGCACCTTTTAGATGTACAGGAAAGATCTAAAAGTATATAGTTCACAAGACCCTATCTTGAAAACACCCATCACAGAAAAGGGCTGGTCGAGTGGCTCAAATGGTAGAATGCCTGCCTAGTAAGCATGAGACCCTAAGTTCAAGCCCCTGTACCACCCTCCACCAAAACCAAGACAAGTACTTGACCCTATTATATTAATTTTCCTGAGAAACTAGTAAGAAGGATCTGAAATCAGTATCATAAAATGCTAGTCAAATACTACTTCCTCCTTTAACATATCAGGTAAAAAGCCAGGTGTGGCCAAGCAACCTGTAAACACTGCACTAGGGAGGCTAAGGCAGGAGAAGGCCAGCCTAGGCTACATAGCAAGACCCTGTCTCAAGAAAACAAACAAAATCAAGTAAATGACTTATTTATAATAACCTGGTTTTGTCTGTTTGTTTTTTGTGGTGCTGGAGATTGAACCCAGGGCCTTGCTCATGCTAGGCAAGTATTCTACCACTGAGCTACATCCCCAGCCCCTATTAACCTGGTTTTATATGAACCAAGTTATATGATTTCTTTGACTTGATTTGTAAAGCATCTTCACAGATAGCCATAAAGGATAAGAAAAAAACTAAGCAGGTTAAGCTGGGTGCTGGTGGCTCACACCTAAAAATTCTAGTTACTTAGGGGACTGAGAACAGGAGCACCACAGTTTGAGGCCATTGGGGCAAAAAGTTTGCAAGACCCCATCTCAAACAGTAGCTGGGCATGATGGTATGTGCCCATCATTCCAAACTATGCAAGAAGTTGAGATTGGGAGGATTATGGCTCCAGGCCAGCCCAAGCAAAAAAGTTCCTGAGACCCCACCCATCTCAACAGAAAAAGACTGGGCCTAGAGGTACCTGCCTGTCATTCCAGTGAAGGAGGGAAGCAACACAGGAGGATTTTGATCCAAGCCAGCATGGGCAAAAAGTGAGACCCTATCTCAAAAATAACTAGAGCAAAAAGGGCTGAAGGCTCGGCAGACAGCAAGCTCAATGCCGCGAGTTCAAACCCCAGTACTGCCAAAAACAAAACAAAACAACAACAAAAACTAAGCAATTAGATTGAAACATTCCAAAATTTAAAAAACAGACAAATAAAACATATTGTACCACCCACCGAATCCAGTGTGAGCGGGCACTACCATCTGATTGCCAGTAGGATGATGTTTCTCCATTTGTCATCTTGTCAATGTCTGCAGGGTTGGAAGATGTTTCTATATAAGCATAGCACTTTGTTACTGATTTGAGTTTATCCATTTCTGGGCTTCTAGTTAAATCTCCAGGGCCTTCTGTAGGGAAGAGCAAAGTTTATCTTATGGCATTTTTCTCACAAGGTAAAAAAGAAAACAGCCATTTAAAATATCTAACAGAAATATGTTTGGCACTTTGACACTACAGATAACGTTTCTTAAAAATCTCCTTCCAAAGAACCCATTTGCCCAAGGATTGCCCCATTCTCTCACTGTAGTATAATTCTTTTTTTTTTTTTTTTTTTTTGGTGAGACTGGGGTTTGAACTCAGGGCTTGCAAAGCAATGCTCTACTGCTTGAGCCATTCTTCCAGTCCATTTTTTGTTCTTATTTTGGAGATGCAGTCTCACAACCTATATACCTGGACCTGAGTTGATGATCTCAGTCTACCAAGTAACTAGGATTACAGGCATGAGCCCATGTGCCCGGCTCTTTTCTTTTCTTTTGAGGTATTGGGGTTTGAACTCAGGGTCTCATCATTTGCTAGGCAGGAGCTCTACCATTTCAGCC